TTTGAGAGGCGTTCGTTCAGCAGTAGCTTGACAGAGGCTGATCATAATGATGATATATATCAAAGTTTGTTCGTGCGCCGGAGAATGTAAATAACGCATAATTCCTCCAATCAGATTTCTTTTTCGTTGACTTTAGCGAATAGGGAGTAGTAAATTCTGAAGCGTCGTTTGTAATGAGCGTGAGGTGGATCCTTCGAATAAAATCATGAGTGATTCGTCTGGCACTGCAACTGTTCAAATGCTGTGGTGTCTTGGGTTGCTTAATTGCTCCCAATAAACTAGGAGCAAGAGGGCGGTGAAATCTCGTGTATATCTTATAACATTCACACATCCTTCAGTTTGGAATTTTATATAGAATATAAGAAGCGCATATTCAAAATTCGACGTATCCTATGTGGAATGATGCTGCACATAGTATTTATTATGTTCAAATTCTTAAAAGTTTCGGATCAAGCTCGATCCGCCTTCAGAGGGTAACGCACTATGATACAAAACGTTACAGTCAGTAACATATATACAGTATAATATAGGCATATCCTGTATTGTATAGGGAGTTCAGAAATAGAGTATATGAGAAATAGCGAATGACTCCTTCAACACGGATTTCACGGCGTATTGCGCCGCCCCTTGCCCATAGTTGCCTAGGGGGTGGAACATTTAACTATATAAATAATTGAAGGGTATGTGAATATTGTACTACATGGTGTATAGAACATTGGGGAACACTGAATGTGTCAAGCACATTGAAAATGGGAATATGCACGTCCCGTAGCTTTCAAGCCATGTGAGCCATGTGTTTTTGCATTCACTTAAGTTATTTGCTTAGGCGGAGCATCTCTGATTTGTGGTGCCCTTTGCATTCGCAGTTTGACAAAATTTTTGTCATAAAGAACCGATTACTAAATTGTAGAAACAACGGTTCCGCTCCCAACGCTGATATTCCTTTGTGTTTACGATTAACATAACGTTTTAACAAAGACACCTGTTTATTCTTTGTCTATGCTAGTTGTGATGTTTATGCTGTAACTGTAGTAACTATTGATCAATGAAAACGTGTGGCTGAACACTTCAGTAGTGCTTTACTCGGTTAAGTAAGTAATACAATAACAAGTGACTGATCCTTTCTCGTAATTAAAGGCGACCATCATTCCTAAGTTTCCGTACCTCTTACTTTTGAAGATTTGTCACCACGCGATTCCATGTCTCTGGGCTTATCGTCCCATCTCAACTGAGGTCTTTCAATTGGGCTCTTTTAAGCCTTTCGTTACCGATCATCGGCCACCGGTTACTTGAGGTACACACAGGGGATTAGGGCAATTTTTGCATGTGCTTTCCATTTCATTCGATTTTGACAAATGGTTTCTGGCTACTGTCCATTCTTGTTAGGTATCTTGGCTGGTAGGTAATGCGAAATAA